TAGTGGGATATATAACAAAAAAAAGTAGAGGTCTTTTTTACTCATAGTATACAACAAAAGAAAAGTAGAAGGATATTAAATGAGTTTTCTAATAATAAAAATTTCCCAAAAGTTTTCCCACCATTACAAAGTTAAAAATTCAAATTCAAAATTCATATTTAAACATAAATCTGAAATTTTGAAGAGTTGAGTTATTATTAATTTGAAAATTTCAAAGTAGAATGCAGTGAAACATTGAATGAGTTGTCTGCCACAAATAATTGTCCACATATTTTCCCATCACTACAAAGTTTAAAGTTCAAAATTCAAATTCGAAATTCAAATTTAAGAAATTCGAAATTTAAAATAAATATTTCAAAAAGCAATGAGTTGTTATTAATTTGGAAATTCCAATGTAGAAAGCAATGAGATATTAAATGAGATGTCTGCCACAAAAAATTGTTCACATAGTTTTCCATTTTATTTATGGGTTCAATTTTTCTACAGTCAATGTAGATAATTTATCTACAGTGAGTCCAAAACGACGTCGTTTTGAGGCGAAAATTAAGGTATTTGTGTAATTATATTTTATTTCAGGGTTATAATAGTCTTTTTCATTATAATTTCTTAAATTTTCAACCCAAAACGACGTTGGGAGCGAATGTAGATAACTTATCTAGATTCACTTTAGAAACATTAAAGCCTTTATTTATTTTCAAATTTCGATTTTATTTTATATTTACTTAATTTAAAATATTTGCGTTTTTTTACAAAATATGTTCGTTTTTTTAATGATTATTTTTTAACAAAATAGTTTTTTTATGCAGCATTGATATGGTTAACAATTACCCATGTAGAAAGTAATGAGATAATAAATGAGCTGTCTGCCACCAATAATTTCTCAAATATTTTCTCACCATTACAAAGTTTAAAATTCAAAATTCAAATTTAAATGAAATTCAAAATTTAAAATAAATATTTCAGAAAACAATGAGTTGTTATTAATTTGGAAATTCCAATGTAGAAAGCAATGGGATATTAAATGAGTTGTCTGCCACAAAAAATTGTTCACATGGTTTTCATTTTATTTATTTAAAAATTTGGATTTTTTTATATTTACTTAATTTAAAATATTTGCATTTTTTTACAAAAGGTTTTCGTTTTTTTAATGATTACTTTTTAACAAAATAGTTTTTTTTTTTATGCAGCATTGATATGGTTAACAATTACCTATGTAGAAATTAATGAGATAATAAATGAGCTGTCTGCCACCAATAATTGTCCAAATATTTTCTCACCATTACAAAGTTTAAAATTCAAAATACAAAATCAAAATTGAAATTTTAATGAAATTCGAAATTTAAAATAAATATTTCAGAAAGCAATAAATTATTATTAATTTGGAAATTCCAATGTAGAAAGCAGTGGATATTAAATGAGTTGTATGCCACAAAAAAATGTTCACATAATTTTCCATTTTATTTATTTACATGAGATGTCTCTATTGCATGAGATACATAAATAATTATTTCCCTATATTTAAGGTCCGTTAATGATTTTTTATACTATATTTTTCTAATATAATTCCATACACAAAAATTTATTTAACTTGAAGGGTGGATAATGCAAGTTCAATCTATCTGTATTAAAAAATTCTATAATATTTAATTATTTTTATTAATAAAATAGAGTGGTGAAGATTAAACTTCTGATCATATTTTTAATGTTCACCAGATTGATTATCTGATAGCTACAGATTTATTCCACTTTAGTCCTCATTTTCCTTCATTTTTCCTTTGTTTTTGCTTGGCATTTCACCTTATTCTTCATGCTTTGCGTGCTTTTTCCTTTTCCTTCTTCTTTTCTCCTCCATTCAAATTGTTGTCCCCATTCGGCAACTCAACGTATTCTCAGTAGAATCCTTCCTCTTTTTCTTCTTTTCCTTTTTCACGGGTTAAAAACACGGGTTGAATTTGAAGAGATTATGCCAGTTTTCGCTAAATAATCAGATGTTGAGACACAATTTAAGCATAAGGAAGACAAGAAAAAACAAAATGATTTGAACTTTGAAGTCTATATAGAAATTGACGACGACCAAATACTCAAATTGATCTTCTAAATAACAATTTTTTTTTAAAAATAAAACAAAAAACATTAAAATATATAATTTTACTAACCACATGTCTCAAATTGCGAGGATGCTACTTAATACTTATGAATTGCTTTGGACATAGAACTGGATCCTAATATTTTTCCACCATACGCACCCAATCCACCTCGAATGAGTCCTGAATCCGCAACATTAAATGCACTCCTAAAAGGATTAGGTTGCGAGCTTGTTGGGAGCTACGGTGCCCCAGGTTGGGAGCCAATGTTATTATACATTCTTACTTCAATGTGCAGAAAAATCAACATCAACATAACATAATAAACAGATAATAAATTATATCCGAGATCTATTTCTAACACAGATTGGCATTCCATAAGGCATAGAAACCAACACTTCAAAAAATGATTAACAAAAACAAAATGCTTCATCATATTATAGGCAACTAATGAATTCAGTGAAAGAGAATAATAATTAGAAGACTTGAGCAGGTGCTACGCTATCAGCAACACAAATAAACACTGAAGTATACGTAGATTCAAGATCCATAAGAAAAAGAAAAGAAGCAGAAGCAATGAAAATTCAAAGATACATGCAAATCTCAACATAATCGTCGTCGAACTGGAACACGAATCTGGGATCAGGTTCGGCCTTCACATTCAGATGAAACTGCGCGGAAGAGCGTTTGGCTTCCTTTCCCACCGTAATCCACCCATTGTGGAACACTGTAGTCTTTCGTTCCCGCCAGATCCAACGACACAGAAACTTTTCCCAGCAGCCTCCCGAAGTTGACGTCGCATGTAGTGCCCCTCCGACCAGTGTAGATCGAGATTTTCAAGCAGAGCTTCCCGGCGAAGATGGATTTTCCGGCGAGTTTGTCAAGATCGGACTTGCTAAGGTGGAAGGTGGAAGGTGGCAGTGATAGGCTGCACCTGAGAGTCATGGAAGTTGCTATCAGTAGGGATGAAGGGAACGACAGCGGATTGAAGAGGGAAGTTCTTGAGTTCGATCTTGCAGAAACATGAAGAGGAAGAGGGTGAACGACGGAGCGAGAGGGTTTGGAAGCAACAGGAATCTTGAGGGCGAGTTTACGTGAGGCGCACGAAAGGGCAAGGATCCATTTATGGGAAGTAGGCATATTATTTAGCCTGTAGCGGAGGGGAGAACGAAATACCAGAGGGAATAAGTTTGGTCTTTTTATAGACGCAATCAACAAAAGAAGTGGGACATTTAAAATTCAAAATTTGAAATCAAAACATAAATCGAATTTTAAAAAAGAGCTGAGCAATTTCGAAAGCATTTAAGAGAGTTGAAGAATTCCAATGTAAAAAGCAGTGGAGCATTAAATGATGTCTGCCACCACAAATGGTTAACATTATTTTCCATTTATTTTTTATTTCGATTTTTAAATGAAATTATTATTTATTTAATTTAAAGATTTACCAAAGAAGGAAAGTTTCAAGGTGCCATGTAGTGTGAACAGAAACTTCAGAATTAAGCAGGGAGTGACACATCAGCTGAGTTTTCAAAGTTTGGGTTTCCTTTATATATATATAGATGATGAGATATCCTTGAGATAATTAATCAAGGTACATAATAGAAACGGCATTTGGCAAAAGGTGGTGTATGCACAATAACAATAAGAGAGAAATTACCTGTGAGTAATGATTTTCTGAGCCTTTAATAGATTGTGGCCCTAATATATCATTGTATTGCTGTCATGATAAAATTGTCATTAATAAGAAAATTCTTTCATGATTTGTGTGATGGGTCTTTAGGTATATTACTCTTATATAGGTCCATAACAAGAGTAATATTATATTTTAAATTACTAATTCTTATTCAATTTCTTGTATTATTGCATTGCACTGACATTAAATTTAAACGATACTGGAAAAAAATAAATAAGAAACTTGAATAAAAAATTGAATTTACGTTTCGTTGGAGATTGTACTTCCAGAACATCAATAGGTGCAGGGCTCTTTGTTCCTTTGTAAAATATCATTTGTCGCTGTTAACTGTGACCATTCAAGTTTCCAAATCACTATATCCTAGAAATAATATAGCCAAACAAAAAAATCATAGTAATAATTTTATGGGTTTAAATTATCTTATGTCGATGGAGAGAATTTTTTTACGCAAGTGAGACATGAAAAGCCGTGCCATTTATTTTTTCTTTTTTTTTGATTTTTTAGAAAATAGTGGGACCCACATGATTTGTTTCTATAGCATGAGGTAAGTCATCTCCTACCGAAAGAGATTAATAAATCCCTAATTTTAACGTGTCTAATGCAATCTCGTATTCTCATTTCATTTAACGAGTTAATTTAAATATATTAATGATTAGATAATATTTTAAATTTATTAAATAATGAATCAACCATAGTTATCAGTTATTCACAAGTACAACAATACATATTATAGGATGTATGGATAAGAGATTTGTATCGGACAATACGATACTATATTGTGTATAGTACGATACGAAAATCAAAGTAACATTTATAATTTTTAATATATAAAATAAAAAATTAATTTTTGATTCACCCCAAAAATCAATATGAAAAATATGTATTAATAAAGAAAATAATTAAATAAATATTTTAATATATATTTTTCTTACATTCGATAAGATTCACAATACCAAAAATTGGCCAAACAAAAAAAAATATATATATATTTATTGCGATTCAATAACCTTGAAATTAACACAATTAGACGGTACATAAAAATTAAATTTGAAGAAAATCCAAGAACAAATGAACAACATTTACCCAAATAATCAAATTCTTTAATAAATTGAATGAATTTTCATTAAGCACAAAATGGAAAAGAAACACAATACTAAACTTAAAGCATCACAATTAACAACCCTCTTTGATTTTGTAAAGAAACAAGGTTAATTTGCAGGTTCTTAGTTCTCAGCCTTAGCTGCGGGTGTCTCTTCTTGTTTGGTTTCAGGCTTTGCCACCACCACGGCTTCAACCTTGACCTCCTCTGTCTTGGCTTCAACCTTGGCCTCCTCTGTCTTGGCCTCAACCTTCTCTGCTTCCTTCTGTCAATGCATTTATATATAAATCGTCATGAGTATATGATGCTTTAAAATGATCAAATTACAAATATAAGGTTCTGTTATATAATGATGGCTAAAATGAAGAAAATAATGCTAATGAATCATTTTATTTCAAGCAAAAAAAAAGTAATACCTCATTGAGCAAGGTGCTTAGAGATTTTTCATCAGAGGCCTCGGGGGTCTCCTCTGTCTTGGTGACAGCATTTTCCTCAACCTTGTTCTCTTGTTGTTCAACCTTAACCTCCTCAGTGACAGGCTCAGGCAATGGGGCATCACCTTCGTTGGTCTTGGGGTTGCTAGCACAGTTTCCCATGTTTGATGATTAAAGTGGGAGAACGATCAAGTTCTTTTTTTTTTTCTTGATTGTTCTCCCTCTTGAGTTAATGAGAGCGAGCAAATTAAGATGCAATGAAATGGTTGTGCTAGTGTTACATTTTTATAAGGGTCGTTTGGTTTTTTTTGGGTTGTGGATTTTCGTGTGGACTGGAAAATTTTGAGGACGCTAGCGGTTACCATTAGTTTAATTCCTTTCTTATATTTAGAAAATGCCATTCAAATTTTCTTTTTTGAATCAAACTAATTTCAAGTTAGGATCTAACAGATGTGTGATTGGCAATCACAGGCTGTGCTGTAATCAAATCAACCAATATTTTGGTTTGAGGACATAAATAGAAATAAAACCTGTCATTTTTACATATAGAAGATTCTATGTTCCGCATTCTTTCTGTCAACCACTATTTGTATTTGTGCGTACGAGCTGTAAATCATAGTGTATATTATTTTTTGTTTTCTTTCCAAAATTTCAATGACGGTAAATACACATTCAACTGACGCAAGATCCCTATAATGACTTTTCATTTTGAATAAGGGCGAATTTCATATTTGTAAAATGTGGGAAATAGTGAGAAATAAGTTTTTTTTTTCATATATTCCATTTTTTCAGAATACAACAAAAGTCCAAATGCAAATGAGAAAATAAAAAAACGTAATAATCAATTCCAATTGATAAAATATCAAAATTGATTTTAATTGACAAAATATCAAAATTGATTTTAATTGACAAAATATCAACTCTGATTGATAATATTATGGGATTCGATATCCCCTACTAAATATAATGATTTTCCTATAAATAAGTCTGTACGAAGGTCCACGAAAAATATAATGAATTTATCACAAATAAGGTAACGTCGAAGCAGTAATAATTTGTCTAAACAAAAAGAAATAACGACAAGAATTGCGAGAAAATATTATTTTATTTTTCTGAATTTTATTAACAAAAAATAATCAAGTAACAATAGGATTCTACAAGTCTTAAATAGACAAAATAAAATAAAATCAAAAGAAATATAATTATGTGCAATTATAAAAGATAACATACAATCAGCTCACACTTTAGCTTAATCTAAAAATAACAAAATAAATAAATAACAAAATAAATAAATAATTATAATAATGTGCAATCAAAAGAGATTACATACAATCAACGCGCACTCAAACATAATTTAAAAATAACAAAAAAGGTAAATAACTAACAATTATAAAAAAGTTCAAAAAAGTCATAAATTATAAAAAAAGTCCAATTCAAGCGAGTCAACTCAGATGCATCATAAGGTCTTAAAATCCCTTCTAATTTCTAAAATTGAGAGAGTAACAAGTGCACTATGAAATTACATAAAAGAAAAAAAAAAATTAAATCATCTGGTCAAATTATTTATTAAGTGAATTTAAAATTAGACCTGGCTAGGACCGGTCGGTGATCCAATGCCCTCACCGGTTCAAGCTGGGTATTAGATCAATTATGTAGTTGAATTGATAGCAATTCTGTGAACTAATACTAAAATTAAGTAACCGTTTTATGTTAAATTATGTAAAATATATACATTTTACAATCAACCAGAACTTAATTCCCCTTATTTGAGAGGAGTATATGAAAACACATGTTAAGTAACCGATATTTTATGTTAAATTATGTAAAATATATACATTTTACAATCAACCGGAACTTAATTCCCCTTATTTGAGAGGAGTATATGAAAACACATGTCAACTGTGTGATGTGAGATGGCTAAGTCGTACATTAAAAAAATTGATGGAAAACAGAGTCGTATTGATGAAACAATAACAGAAAAAGTTGTTTAATTTTAACACATTGCATATCGTTGTGCTATTAAATATATTTTGCTCTTATTTTTTATTTTTTATCATCCGTTTATTCTTTTATGAGGAAGGTTATACTTACAATTTTTTTATTTCCACCAATCAACGATTATGATTTTCGCAAATTAAATTCATTAATTAATTATTAATTCACAATAAATGATAACCGTTAATTGGCGGAAATCAACGGTGTTAAGATATTGTTGTAAGATCTTCCTCTTCTTTTATTATAAAAAAGATAAAATAAATAGATTAGTTAAATTTCTAATAATATTAAAAATAAAATTGTATAGAAAAAATTATAGGAGATAAGTGATTAATACACACACATATATATATATGTGCGGTTTTATTTTTCTCATGTTGCATGAGACAAATTGTCTCATGCAACACACAAAAAAGTGGATGAGACTCATTAAAAGAGAGAGAGAAAACAAAAAAGTGGGTTCCACTCATTTTTTTGTGTGTTACATGAAACAATTTGTCTCATGCAACATGAGAAAAATAAAATCCATATATATATATATATGGGATAAGATCAATTTACACCGGTGTAAGAATAATAAACCTTACACCAAATTTTAATGGTTGATTTTCGTGTATCTAACGGTTGAGATTTATTGGGAATTAAAAATTAATGAATGAGTGAGACCTAATAAATCTTAACCGTTAGATGCGGAAAATCAATGGTTAAGATTTATTATTCTTACACCGGTGTAAGATGATCCTGCCTATATATATATATATATATATATATATATATATATATATATATATATATGCTTATCGTTTCTCAAGCTGCTTGAGATAATCTTATCTCCGGCTAGTAAATCATAACTGTACAAAGATGGATCAATGGTGATAAAGAAAGAGAGAGAAAAAAGGAATCATACTCATTCAAAGGTGAATCAATTAATATAAGGAAATAAATAAATAAAACGACGTAGTTTTGGGATAGCCGGAGATAAACTTATCTCAAGCTGCTTGAGAAATATTTTCCCTATATATATATATATATATATATATATATATATATATATATATATATATATAGGGAATGATATACCTACAACCAAAAATGTTTACCACCCTTACAACCAACTTAATCATCGTTGATTTTCGTCAATCTAACAGTTATACTTTATTGGAATTTACTGGGTTGTGTTTATTAATTAATTATTAATTCTCAATAAATTATAATCGTTAAATTGACGGAAATCAACGGTGATTAGATTGGCTGTAAAAGTAGTAAACATTTTTTATAGTAAGTATATCTTGCCCCTATATATATATATATATATATAACAGTGTAACTGGTTCAAAATAAAACCATGAAGAGGTTTTTCAACTTTTCCCTTATAATTATACTAAAATTCACCTTTTATTTTTATAGTAAGTATATCTGGCCCTTATATATATATTAACAGTGTAACTGGTTCAAAATAAAACCATGAAGAGGTTTTTCAACTTTTCCCTTATAATTATACTAAAATCTTTTCAACTTTTCCCTTATAATTATACTAAAATTCACCTTTTATTTTTATAGTAAGTATATCTTGCCCCTATATATATATATATATATATATATATATAGGGGCAGGATATTCTTACACCTGTGTAAGAGTTAGAAGTCTTACACTCAATCTTGACCATTGATCTACTTGTATCTAATGGCTCACATTACTAAAAAATTAGAACCCTTAGATATAAGTGGGATCAATGGATAAGATTGAGAGTGTAACTTACACTGGTGTAAAATGATCCTGACCCATATATATATATATGAGGCAGGATCCTTTGACTCCGGTGTCAAAGGAAAAGTTTGACACCTCATCTGAGAGCCGTTAGATTAAAAAAAATCAATGGTGTCACATGCTTACAAATCAGAATCGTTGATTTTTTTTAATCTAACGGCTCTCAGATGAGGTGTCAAACTTTTTTTTTGACACCGGTGTCAAAGGAGGTCTATATATATATATATATATATATATATATATATATATATATATATAACAGTGTAACTGGTTCAAAATAAAACCATGAAGAGGTTTTTCAACTTTTCCCTTATAATTATACTAAAATTCACCTTTTATTTTTCTTTAAAAATTCACACATATAAAATTCAAAGATAACAATGGGCCTAACGGTATTTAGGGAAAAAAAAATCAATGAATATAAGGTGCACACAACAGTTCGTCATGAACACAAACTACCTAAAACAAACTGAAATTTAAGTAGGCTGACCTTGACTTTTGTTGATTATTCCATACTGATCATTTTTACATAAATAATCATAATAGAGCATCATATATATTTTATGCATTATTGAACATACTATATATTTTCATCAATTCATGGAATCAACTAACTCTACAATATTTGGTCACCCCAAGCAGATGCCGCCAAGTCAAAGCTTTTTAATTCATAACCTTGATGATAGATTAAATCAATTTTTTAGAGAAATATGAATATAATTTTTTTTTTTTTTTTTTTTATCTTAGAGAAAATTCGTTACATATAAATAATACTTAGCTGTGTATTTCCAGTAAAAGCTTGTTGTAATGTGCAATCATCATAACGTTTACAAAGTATGTATACATACGCACTATGTATAAACATCATGCCCTTATTTTACTAATTTGCTAATTTATAATTCGCTTATCAAAGCTAAGCTACATTTGTTTTGAAATAGAGAGAACCTCTCGTTATACTCATTATTTTTCCTAATCCAATACCAAAAAGAGAGAGAAACAGAGAGTTAACACTAGCCCACAGTTAAATCAGTTTCGGTTTACACTCGACCCAAATTCATTTTTTTGGACTACACTCTAACCCATTCAAAACTTGAAAAGGTAAACTCACCAACACAAATCACGAAAGGTCATATCGGGTCAATGCATGGATCACTTCTACCAAGCTAGGTTTCATGTTTTTATTTTCTTTGGAAAAATTATGATTCGCTGTCTTGAACTTCTTTAGGCATAACTGAGAAAGTTAAATAATTTGTTTGTAAAAAATAATTTCACCTAAAAACTTAAGTTATTAAGTAAGGGTACATCAATAATTTTATATTATATTTCTCTAACATGTTTCATTATATAAGAGTCCATTATTGGACTTGAAGGTGGATAATAAATTTTTTCACCCAAAAACTTAAAATATTAGGTGATAGAGAAGAGTTATATTTAAACCTAAATTAATTTTCGTCAATTTAACGATTACAATTTATTAAGTCGCACTTATTAATTAATTATTAATTCTCAATAAATTATAACCGTTAAATTGATGAAAATCAACGGTTAAGATTTGATTATAAGAGTTTGTAAACAATTTAGGTTGTAAATATAACTTTTCCTAGGTAATATTATATTAATAATTTTATATCACATTTCTTTAACATTATCATATTAGAGATTATGGGAATTTGTTTGGTATAATCAATGCATTTTGGACGAATGACTGCAAATTAAAATCAAAATATATTATAACCCAAGATGGAAATGGATTGCTATGTTTAAATTTCACATGATTCTTTTTATATAAAGTTTTTGTATTTATATCTCTTTTTATCAATATTCACAAATTTTGATAAAGTTCAACCTATTTAATGTTTATGAAAATAAAATAAACACAATTTTTTTAAAACAAAATTATATAAAATTTTAATATGAGAAAATTCATTTCATGTACAAGATTACGATATAACTGACATTAAAATAAGAGTTCATATATGATGTATTATTACGGTATAATTTTTCACATTATTATGTAAGAATGTTGGGAAGAGTTTCTGCTTTTTACTGCATAATTTTTTTTTTTTATGCTACTCTCACGTAAAAGTAAATGGTCCCATTATATTCCACTTACACTCACATAAAGGTGAATTGTCTTATTATAGGCGTTTGGATGAATTTTTTTATAGCCAAAAGCTGCTTTTTTTCCTTCACAAAAAAGCATTTCTACTGTAACGTTTGTTTGGATGTCTAAAAGCAGAAGTCGCAAAAAAGTCAAAAACTTGCTTTTTCTTATAAGCTAAAAATTTTAGCTTCTAAAAAAAATAAAAGTCAAAAGCCAAATATTTTTTTCAAAATCTAAATAACTTTAACTTTTATAAAAAAACACTTCTAAAATAAGCAAGGCATAAAAATCACTTTTTTTTAAAAGCCCATCCAAATATACCTATATATCCCACTAATTTTTTATATTTCTTCTTATTACAATGATGCCCATTCACTTTTATGTGAGTGTATTTTCTATAACAAAATCAAAAATACTTTTCCAAGAATGTAAAATATTTTGACCTTTTAATAATGATTGTGAAAGTGAAACTTCTATTATGAATTAATAACAACGATTGTATGAAAGTATTAAAAAACTACACTAACAATGCATTAAAAACAAATTCTTGAATATACCTTTTAAGACTTGTTTATTACAAATTTAATCCTAGAAAAATCATTAAACTATGAATGTACATATTTTTCTTACACATTATTTATTTTTTAATAAGGAATTTGTGATCTCGTAAGATCAGTTCAGGATCATGGGATCCTTTTCTATCAGATCAGTGGCGGAGCCAGTATGGCAAGTCAGCTAGTGCCAAAATTCAGCTAGTTCCCAAATAGCTACGGTTATTTGGCTACGACCAAACGTGGCTAATTTTCAAAAAAAATTGAAACAGAATTTGCTATAGCTAAATGAACGTGGCTAATTAAGCCAGTGCCAAGGCAACTGCAGGTTAAAACGTGGCTCCGCTACTGTATCAGATAGGAAGGGTTGTTTCACAAAATGTACTTTTAAGTAATTGCTCTATAGATCCTATATCTATCTATATGAAGAAGAAATCTTGTAACATGGGAGTTCTTATTTGTACAAGTGATACTTCGAATTTGGACCATTCAATGATGTAAAATATCATAATGGGATAAACGAGAGGATTAATAAAATTAAAAGATATCCTTGAATTTCCTATTTAATTGTATAGAGATAAATTAAAATATTACCAACTAATTTAATTTAATTTTATAAAATTAAAAGAGATTCTCGAATTCCCTATTTAAAAAAACATTAACTCAAGTGAGACCAAATGTGTTGTAAGGTTATTTAATCCTGAAATACACTCAAGTTTACTATCTCTTCTGTCAAGGAAGGTCAGCCTTTTTTGTAATTAAAAAAGAAAAAAAAATATTGATCAAGTTTGGTACTGGCAAGAGCCCAACAAAAACCCCCCAGTGGTTACTTACTACTACCAGTTGCTACTGCAAATTCGCAAAGGCCCACCTGAAAACTAGTCTTTTAACTTTGAATTTCTCTTTTCTCATGTCACATGAGATATAATCTCTTATGTCATAGATACAATAAGTGGTGAGGCCCATCACTTGTTAAAAAAAAAAAAAAAAAAGACAGCACGATTTTCGATGTCTCATAACATGAAAAAACTATCTCATATTACATGAGAAAATAATTTCTCTTTAACTTTTAAGTTATCAAAGAATAATACTAGCGAAAAATTCGCACTCGCCTATTAATTATTGGATTTATCTAGGAAAAGTTATATTGACAAAAAAAAATTTCTTACAAACTTACAAACTACATTAAGTTTGACTGCTCATACACTCTTGATTGATGTCAAGGTCATACACTCTTGATTGATGTATAACCAGTCAGACCACTGGCGGACCCAGCCATGGGCAAATGTCCGCAAGTGCCCACATAAAATTTTGGATTTTTTTTTTTTTTTTTTTTTTTTAGCTTTGTAGGTATTTATTTGTATGTTGATTCAATATTTATATTAGGAGTAAATATCATTTTAAGTTTCTAATAAAAAACATGGTCCCCACTTTAGTCTCTTATCAAAAATTAGTCTCGAGGTCCCTACGAAATTCAAAGTGAATCAATTTAGTTAAAATCGTGGTTCCTCACTAATTCAAAAAAGACCTACATTAGTTACTCAAAAAGACTAAAATGAGTTTACTTTAAATTTCATAAGGACTAGGTAACTATTTTTTTTTATAATAGACTAAAGTGAGTACCGAATTTTTTGTTGGAGACCAAAAATGATATTTATTCTTATATTAGTTAGCAACGTACGGAGATGATTAAAATAACGTAGCAACGCTCTCTTCCTCCCCTACCATGTACCCATTCTCACGCTCTCTTCATCTCCTTTGTTTCCTTTCTAGACAAGGCCTTCAGTGTGATTTTGCTTGTCTTTTGTACAAATAGTGTTGACTTTTTTATTCACCACTATAAAATAGAATAGAATGATGATGTATGGATGTACTTAAGTATATTTTCATATTTGTTTTGGAGGATTGGTAAGATTTAAGAGAAAAAATGATGGGTCAAAATATTGCCTGCAGCTTGTTATGGAAGCAACTAGATTATGAGCGAGTTTAAGCGTTAACTTAAACTTTTTTTACAAAAAAAATTTGGGAGCACCCGCCACTAAATGTGCGGACATAAACAAATTTTTTTGGGTCCGCCACTGAGTCAGACTTAGTGTAGTTTGTAAGAAAAAAGTTTGTCAGTATAATCCCTCCGTTATCTTAAAATCTATAACTGCTGATTTCCTGTAATTCGTAGCCGAGACCAAAAAAACAAAAAAAAGTTGGGGATGGAAAACCTACATCTCAACGATAACCAAATCAATAAATACCAAACAGATGAACCCATAATTAGGAGTTAAAAAGCGTCTTGTCAATCCCTATATTAACCACTAAATTGAAAAAAATTGGATGCACTAAGAAAAATAAAATTGGATACATTTTAAGTTCGTAGAAACACACAGGCCACAGCTATAATAAACGTCCTAATACTCCGATGGACACTCAAAGCGTGCGAAAATATGTTACATTTAATTTGAAGTTAATCAGGAATTTAACGATACATTTTAAAATTTAGAGGGATTTTTACTGAGAAGATTCTAATAAGCGATTTATAATGCATTGTTATGTCACTAATGGATTTCCAACTGTTTTGCACACTGAATGATTTTCTACGTCAAGGATTCAAATTAAGGACAATGATCCTCTTCATTCTTTTATTCTCTCTAAGTAACTTATTCAAATAAATACCCAGTTCTCCTACCCACTTGGCTGACAAGAGCCCAAGAGTTTATATCTCTTAACACATACGAAACACAAACTGAGATTCAAAGACGATATTCATGCACCATTTGCTTTGGGTGCGGCATAAAGCTCTTTCATTTTCTCAATTTCATCGTAGCTGCCAAGGAATACAGGTGATCGTTCATGTATTTTCTTTGGAACCAAGTCAAGTGCCTGCAATTCGCAAATCCATCCATAAAAAATAACACATATATACATGAAAATTTAAAAACTCACAAGACTTGATTTTAGTTACTGTGCAAGGTAAAAGAATTCATATGTTACTTAAACCGACCACTTCAAATATTATATAGATGATGTAATATCAAATCTGGTTCATTTTCATTTAAACTTTGATCCATATGTCAAATTCAAGAAGCAGAAATGCATGCAATGCAACCACTTTTTAAGACATAAGTCAAATAATGTAACACATTATTGCATTGCAGCTGTAGAGTCTTTGTAGTAATAATCTAAAAGAGCAAAGAAAAAAGAGAGCCATACCCGTTGTTTTCCTGTGAAAGCCTGACCTCCTGCTTGCTCCATCAAAAACGACATTGGAAACACTTCGTAGAGAAGCCTGATTTCAAAGTGAAATTCCCATAATTAAGCCACGTCTTTCCGTGAAGGATATATAACCCAATTAAAGAGAGGGAGGAATGTTTCAAGTTCTCTTCCTCCTCTTTCAATTGGGGATCCTTATATGTAACTCAGAAAACAAGTCTATATTTGGCTTATTGCATGTGCAATGGTGTTAAGAGAGAGTTGGCATTCCTAGATACTAATTCATGTTAGAATTACACACAAAATTGTGAATATAACAACATACCGTAGCTTTCCATTTGGGTTTTTCATATCAGCAGGGTACATGAAGATACCACCATAAAGCAATGTTCGATGGACATCGGCAACCATACTGCATTACTCATCTGTGTTAGCAGAAAAAATGAAGATATTTGAAGGAAAGCCAAGAACTACACGAAGTTCAGAATCAAATACCTTCCAATGTACCTAAGAGACTTTGGTGGTGTACCATCTTGAGGAAACTTGCAATTTTCTACATATCTGGAAAAAGAAAGAATGTCGAGAACTTTGTCATTTATGAAAGGATTCAGAGAATCAGTTTTCAAATACTAGCTAAGAGAATCCCCAAGACATACTTTGTGGTTGGTTCATCCCAGTTTTTGGCATTTCCCTCATTCACCGAATAAATCTTTCCTTTCTTTGGTATCTGTGCAATGAAAACATAGTAATTAAAGCTGAAAGCTCGCTTTTATAGTCTGAAGTTATAACTTTCATATGTTGACACAAAAAAACTAATAAGAAATATAAGCAGAGCAAGGATACAGGACTAAAGAACCAGATTGGTTCAGGATTATATTAAATAATGAATGAGGTCTCATACACACATCTTGATGCTACTACGCCTCGTTACAAATTTAGAGCAAATAAAATTTAGAATTTCCCTTGTAAAATTCAAATTACTTTATGTGCCAATTTTAGTGCCACATATGTATGTACCTTGATGTTTGGATGTGTCAATATGAACTCCCCAAGGGAAGGATCTAGTGTAAAACCATTCACTCCATTTCCTGAGCTAAGCACAAACTGCAATTCCAGAGTTTGTTCAATCAGCATCAGATAGATATTCATGATAAGAAAAATAGATCACTTCCATTTTAAAAACAAACAAAGCGGCATCACCTTGAAATTTGTTGTGAAAATTGAAAAGGAAATATGAAATTGTTACAATAACCAATATTTAAAGGCACGTTGCTTTTGTTTTACCGTGCAAGAGCTTCCATACATGCAGTAACCAGCCGCTAACATTTTGTTCCCAGGTTGCAATGCAGCTTCAAGAGTAACATTAGCTTCATCCTTCACCGTGTAAATACCAAAGATCTATATGCAACAGGGAAAATGCAATCTATTATTACAATTTCTGTGTTGAGGTTTTCGAAATACAGCAATTAATGTTTGGGATAGAAATTTCGTACAGTTCCAATAGAAACACCACAGTCAATGTTTGAGGATCCATCCAAAGGATCAAACACAACAATATATCTGAAAAATCAAAAGTAGTTAGTTACTTGGATATGATAATGTAGTTTAATGGTACAATTAAAAGATGGAAAGCTTGGAACTAACTTGCCACGCTTGGATGGGGGCACAAACACAGCCTCTTCATTCTCTTCAGAAACAAGAAGGCACTGACAAGGCAACAAATTGCGTTTTACAAGAATCAGGTTAAAAAAATATGCCAAAAAGGATGCCTATTAAAAAAACTCATATTCATATCAAGGAAAGGAGAACAAAATAAAACAACTAAATGGGAAAATTATTCCTTTCCTAAAATCTATTGAACTAGACCATTAAAGCGTGCCATTAAACCTGATTTGAATTGAGAACTAAGAGAAATGACAGTGCAGACTTACTGTGCGTCCACTGCTGATTAAGGCCTTCACAAACACTTCATTAGAAAGCACATCCAATTTCTTTTGTTCCTCACCCTGAAAAGAGAACACACAAATCAAATATAACATGTAAATTAAATTGAACCACTTCCTATTAAACACCACTAAGCGGAACAATTCTTATAAGCAGTCTTATCCTTTCATATTATATTAGCAAAGACCCATATTATTTCTGATTTGGATCATCTCAAAAGGTGAAAGTGACACTATGATGAATAAATTAAGTGAAATATAGCTCTCCTTTCACTGCTAAAAAAAAATTCTACAGCAACACTATATAAAGTCATGTTATTCATGCAGATCCTGAATTTTTTTTTTAAACTCCAGGATCCGTCAGCGAATCCTAATGTAAATGTATTTGCTGCAAAATTTCTCATTTTCAAGTGAAACGAGAAGATAAGAACCATAAATTAAATTCTATTATTTAGTCTGCAGAATCAAAAACAGAGAACTCACTTGAACATTTGTCTCTCCAGCTAGTCCTAGGAGTTTTGCCAGTCCCGCCTGCCAATAGATCAAAATATTCAACCAATGAAAAAAAAAACAATTCCAAAAATAGCAGATTGTTAAAGAGAAAGAACAATACCTTATTTACAGCAGAGCAAACGAATTTGCAGCCAAGAACAATGTGACTGAGGAGTATGGTGAAATCACCACGTGATTCAGGATACTTTGTCTGTTCGCTCAGAACAAAACGAGTTATGGTCATCAAATCAGTCCTCAGAATATCACCTTCGTGATCCATTTTTCTCTCCTCTCTCTCTCTCTCCCACTTGTTCTTCTTCTGGGATTACCAGCAATATATGCAAATTCAAGAAGAAAAAAAAATGTTTCAATAAGAATGAATGATGAAGGGTATGGAATGAAATAAGAAGATAAGACTTATTCCAATATTTGGGGAATACAAATTATAGTAAGGTGAAGATGATGAGATGATGAGAATAAAAGATATTTATATGTTTGTGCGTTTCCTAAGGAACGAGGGGATAGGAATGACACATAGATGCCAACCAAGCTGTGCGTGACGAATTATTCCCATGCAGTGTAGAAGGGGAAAAAGCTTAACTTTCAAGGTGTCGAGATATATAGTCCCGTTGTGTGGGCAACCAGGACTTCCTACACTCTCATCTTTTGAGCTAGCTTTTGAAGTGGTGTATCCCAAGATTTTTTACATGATACAAGAGCTTTTGAGTGACTATAAAAAGTTCGATTCTCACGACTCCCACCCTCAAATGAGGGAGCGTGTTGAGATATATAGTCTCACATTAATTGTGTAGGTATCCCAAGGTTCTTTAGACAAGGCATATGTATCATTATTAATTTAATTTAGGGTATGCTATAATTTTTATTCATTAAAATTTAAAGGTAAATATACACCTTTTTTGTATATCTTATGAACAAATTTAATCTAAAAAAAATTATTTGTTAAAAAGAGATTGAATTGAAATAATTTTATGGCTCTCAAATTTGTTAACTTTTTTCTTAGATTAAAAAAAAAAGATGAGTGTAAAGCTATTTTTTTTATCTCTTTTTTTATTCCAGCATATTAAACTTTGAAATGAAATGAAATTTTTATTCGTTTGATGATCATAAAAAAATATTGTAATTGAAACCAATGAATAAAAATTTAAAATTGTGAAAAAAAAAATTAAAATACGAGTAGGGTGACATGTATTTGATCCGAAATAGAGGCTCTGCTCTGTAAGTAAAACCCAAACAGCGCCATTGGCCAACAGTAACACCATCACCACCACAACCTCTCTTCGCGCTCTGCAATGTTCGCCTCATAACTTCTCTCTCTTTTTTCCATTTCTTATTTGTCAGATCTATCATTTATATTTGATTTCAATGCACAAGCACTCTTTATGACTTCGCTTTTTCTAATTTAGGGTTTTGAAATTTTACTGCTATTAATACTTGTTGTGTTGTGTCACAAGATTAGTATGCCTGCGTATGAAAAATCTTGCATATCTTGGGAATTTGGTTGGTTTTGATTTTGGTCCTATATAATTATGGTGTCAATAGCTTCTGCTCGTGTGTATTGGTTCTTTTTTTTTTTTTTTGTCTTTCTTCTGGCGTTCCTGTCATATTTATTGCTTATCATTCATCTTTGAATTTTATTATGAATTTAGGGCTGACGAGGAACCTGTTGATCAGAAGAGATATCTTGAAGAGTCTTGCAAACCAAAATGTGTAAAACCATTACTTGAATATCAGGTGTGCTTTTTTAAAGCGTAAAATTGTAAGCTGGATCATTTAAAGATGAACTTTATTCTTAATTTAAGTGTTCTGTACAAAATTCTTTTATTTGCCGGATTTTAAAATTGATGTTAGATGGGTGCTATAATTGAATTTTACAATTTTTTTTATTGTCCCGTTTGCACCAGTAAAATTTATGATGTGGTCTACTAAAAAATATAATTGGAGTATTCTATAGCGGTTAGTGTATACAAAAAGAAGGATGAATGGAGTACTGGCAAGAGTCCAGAAATGAAGAGAGCTAAGAAATACAATGTAGCAAAGAACATTGTTGACAAATAGCAGCCATGGTGATGCCATCCCATCGATATTGAGAGATTCGAGAAAAACACCACAAGCCATCAATGGTGTTGCCTGTTTTGCATTGCAGCTGCTTTTACTACACCGCTTATGGTGGTAAAAGCAGTTTAGGCGTTTTTTTTTTTAAAGAAAAAAATGAATCAATTTTGTTATTTAAAAGTGATTTGAACGTCTTGAATGACCTTCACAACTTGCTCTGCAAAACCGAACAAACTCCGTGGCCATGTTCACTGTCTCCAGCAATTGTGCAATCTGTTCTGGACTTTGTTTTTCTCAAGCAACCTCTTTGGCCATTTGTGCCTTCTCTTTCTTGTTCGCTTTGATTCTTTAATTCTGTTCTCACCGGCCATTATTTCCTCTTTGTTCCCGTCTGAATCTCTGTGATTCTATTTGTTTCTGTTCACTCTCTTTTTTTGTTTATATGTTTCTGTTCAACATATAGGCAACATGAGCATAAAATAGGAGTAGCAGAGATGAGGATGTTAAGGTGGATGTGTGGTTATACAAGGATGGATAAGATAAGAAATGAAGATATTCGACGAAAGGTAGGAGTACTATCGGTGGCTGAGAAGATGAGAGAACATAGATTGAAGTGGTTTGGGCACGTAATGAGAAGGCCCCTGGATGCTCCCGTAAGAACAGAAGTTTGTTACCAAGAGCTCAACAAAAAAAAAAGTAGAGGTAGACCGAAACTTACTTGAGGGAAGGTAGTAAAACAAGATTTAATGGAGTGGGATATAGATTGGTGGACGGTATGCCTTAGAACGGAATGGAGAAAAGCTATAAGTATGGTGGAGGGTTAGATTCGTTGTTATTCCTATGTTCCAGATGGTCCCTTTTTAGTCCTTTTCCCCTTCATTTCCCCCTCTTCTTCTTTTCCCTTTCTTTTTTTACTTATATATATATATATATATATATATATATATATATTTACTATTCTATTTATTTATTTTTATTATTATTTTTATTTTTACTTTTCTTTTTCTTTTTTTAAACCTTTTTGTATCTTTTATTTGGGTTCATCTACCACCGACCCCAATTAATTTGGGATAAAGGTGTTGTTGATGTTGATGTGTTTCTGTTCATTTCCCAAAATTAATCTTAAGGATAAGGAAGAGGAGGAATATATTTTTAATCTATCTTTGTCTTGTTTCATTTCTGTTTGTTGTTACTTGATAGTTTCTACTTTCTAGTGACCCTATGTATGAGGGTTATGATATTATCAAATATTGGAAAATTTATCTGGTTTCTTTGGCAGAGACTATATGATCTTATTATTTGAATGCTTTGGAGCTAATGAATAGGCCAGATAGTGATGAAACTGAATTGTTATGCTAAGCTATAACATGATAGCAAGTACTTTTCCTTTATTCTGATATATTTTGCTCTTCTCTTATATTCTATTGAAAATATTGCACTTCTTCTGTATTCTTTAGTGGGGGATTTTGGGGATTCTGCTCCAAGTGAGGAAAGTTTGCTGATTGATGGATTACTAGCATACATATAAGTATTTTTATATACTTTCGGAGAGTTGACTCAAATGGAACTTCATAAGAAGCAAGGCCTCAAAATTACATTTTTGGGGACCGAGGGGTTAGGGTAGAGATCTTAGACTCTATTCTATGTTATTGTTGAAAAAATGTTTACATTAGGGAAGACTTTCTCTTACATTCCCTTCCTTCCTTCCTTCCTTAGAGTTGAGAGAACTAACTTGCTCATATCATTTGTAAGCACCTTAGATTTTGACTTGTTAGTGGAATAGATACCCTGAGTGATAGTATAATGAACAGTAAATTTTGGAATAAAGAATCAATCTTGGCAAACTTTTGTTCTGCCTTATTTTTTGGTTATTCAAAAGAAGTTCTTGTTTGGCAGAGAAAAGTAACTATGTAAATTGCTACAGGCATGCGTTAAAAGGATACATGATGATGAATCTGGGCAGAAACACTGCACTGGGCAATATTTTGATTATTGGTATTGTGTTGACAAATGTGTAAGTATTTATGTTTTGTTAGTAGATAATCATTGAGTCATTTGATTTGCTTCTGCATTCTCTGATAAATCGTAATCCTTTGATGCAGGTTGCTCCAAAGCTACTCACCAAACTGAAGTAATTGGGGAGAGTATTCTGGTTTATGATCATTAAGTTCTGTTCGATTTTCATTCTCAAATAACTGCTCCTAAACATTTGATTTTGTAACAAACTATATGCCCTGTATGGTTATTAGTCTTTACTTTGGAATTTAGAGCCCATGGAGACTGTAGATCATGAATAATAAGAACTTTTGCCAAAATGTAACTTTGAGATTTGGAATGAGTATGGAACCAATACTTTTTAATAAGTTTTAAAATGTGGTTTGGAGCGTGGATTTTTGGATTTCCTGTTCAACCAATACTTTGAGATTTGTTCACTTTTCTTCCATGTAATATTGGCCTGGCACAAGTACAACCAACCCTCTAAAGTAATTTTGCCCTCATTACGTTCGGTTAATGTTGAAAACTAACGTTTTTAGTCAAATCAAAAGAAAAGGCATGTGCATAGTACTGAGCCCCTATTTTCTATGCATTGCCAATCCATGTTAGTACGAAAAGAGAGCACCCAGACTGTAAACTGTAACGTGGCACATGTTTTACGGGTGCAATTTAAGCGGTACCATTGTAGAATACCGAAGTCCACCTTGCATAATAACCCACATGAAGCATAAACCCCACGCCAAACAGCCTCGCAACAAAACACAAAGACATCCCTAGCTCACAGCACACAACCTCACAGAACTCTACTCTTAAACGACGACATCAACCACAACGCCAAATCAATGTTACCATATTGCACCCAAATTGCTACTTTGTTGTCCATGTGTCTCAACAAAGGTTACACAAGTCTTTTGAATATTTAGGATATTCATAGACATGTAATAATTTGTGGAATGAAACATGAAAGAATGACATGGAATTACCATATTATTGTTGGGAAAAATGTTTCTCCTGCAAGAGATATTGTTATTTCCAGTAACCTCAAAATGACGTTGTTTTGCGATTTATGAAAAAATTTGTAAGGTATTTAAAAATTTATTTTCTTATTATATCATGAATTTTATTAAAATGCCTCGCATTTTTTTCTAAACTCCAAAATAACATTATTTCGGGATTGTATAAAATAATTTTATTTTCTATTGTAGGAGGAACGTTAATCACATCATTTAGATATTTTATGATAAAACGAAGTTCAACTTGATTTCATTTGAAAATGAATAGAACAGTAAGGAGATTAGTGAGCAATAAATTGATGCAATCTCATCCTGTCCCATACCCTAAGATTAGTAGAGAAGAAAAATATATGTATTAAATTAAATGGAATAAAATAGTATCCCTTTTATTCCATTCTATTTTAACAACAAATATTATTCCATTTCATCGTCCTCAATTTTATCCCTTTCCATTAATCCAAACATAATCTTAATACCAAACAAATGGGATGGTCTGAGATAGTGAGATGCTTGGTGACCTGGCTTGTGTGTATAGGTTCCTTTTATGTGCATTGCAGCATTGGGCTATCTTTACGTCTTAAGTCGGTGAGGTTCGTGAGCATGTTTGTTATAGTGTAGGGGATAAGCATTGGGGGCGGGTGCTAGGTTTCTTCAGCCCTTTGTAAAAGTTTGATATTTGTCTTAAGTAAAATATTTAAAAATACTTTTGCTTCTACTATTCCAATGGCCAAGTGAATGAATGATACATGTTGTTAATGTCTGTGAATGCGGGTATGAAGATAACGTTAAATGGTCCTCGACATGAAGATCGCCGACGCATAATTAGTTTATGAAAAATACTAGATATACATATTTCTTTTTATTAAAATAAAAGAATTTGACTCTTGTAAAACGAGCGGTGTACTTTAGGGGGAGAAAGTGTCAATTATAATTGTTGATTAAAAAATTGTTGGTTAATATTATAATAAAATCTATGCACATATAATAAATTATGGGGTTGCTAAAAATTTTTGTATGAATTTTTTAATAAAATATTATAAATTTACATTTAAAAAAAAAATACAACCTGACTTCAAAGGAGTTAAATCTCATTATTAGTGTTCTGTCGTGGTGACAGAGATATCCAGCTAGTGGCTACAGTGTCTATATTGAATCTGTGTGTCCTTTCTCAGACATCTATGGGAGATATGCCTTAGAGATCAGCAGATCACTGCATACTATAGCAATAACATAGCCAAAGGTGGGGTGTGTGCACAATAATAGCTAAGAGAGAGAGAGTTTAGAATGTATGTACCTTATTAGTTTAATCCCTCATTTATAGATGAGTTACCTTGCAGGAGTGGACTTCTAGGCCTCTTAGAAATATTGGGAGTCCAATTCTTGATCCATTGCCGACGTATTAGGATTAGTACAATTAAAGAATCTTTTCTTAATTTTTCTCTTAGTCGTTAGCCTTTCTTGGGCCTTCCAGAATGTGAACTTTTGTCAGGTCCATAACAGTTGCACCCCAGCCCGATAGTTTGATTGTCCGGATTGTCGGGATGTATATTTTGTCGAACTTTAATACTATCTGACAGGTATAGCTGGATTGTTGTGCATTGTTTCTGGTCGCATTTACTATTATTTATATTGCTATATGTAGGTCAGCCATGTTCTTGGTCCGAGCCTTTTTAGCCTCTATTTTCAGCCATCTGGTTGTGTTGAATTCTTACCTTAAACATCCTCATTTGCTTCTTTACCTGGTAGCTTGGGTGTCCGAAGTGAAGCATGTTGAACTATAATCTTGTTGGTCAAACTTTCGTGACCGAGGTCTCTAATAGAAGTGGAAGAGTTTTCCCTTTGACTACTTTGCTAGGGTCTTATCTCGACTATTCTGAGCTATGATGTTTTAGCTAGAATCCATAAATTCTTGTTGATCCGTGTTTTAGATTTCATTCTTTCCTATTTCGCTCTTTTTTTGTGCCGGGCTTAGTGAGTCAGCTATTGAATATACTGTTTCGTTATTCCTCCCTCACCTTTTTGGCCAAGGTCTAGCTCGAGACTAGATGATCTTGCTCTTTGACCGCCTTGTCGAGATCTCAACTATATCGCCTTTCATCGTTCAATTTTGATGGTTGTGTTCCTACACTTGCCCCCAGTTCAATAGTCTGGAAGTCTGGGCTATCAAGCTATAGAATTTTCGTGCTTCGGATATGCCCAAATCCTTTTTGTTTAAACTTTATTTGTTCATTTTCGTGTAACTCTGCACTATCTTGTTTGGGCTAACCGCGGTACTGGACTTCTAGCATTTTTCCTTAATCCGAGCTCTGAATTGAATTTGCAACTGCTATTGCTGGGTTTGTTCCCGGTCTTTTAATTTTTTGACTTGCATGGTTCTTGACTTGGTAGTCGTGGCTCTCTGTTCAATTTAAGTCTGTTTTTCCCTTAGATGGCGCCAATGTTCTGTTGTGGTGATAGAGATGTCCAACCAGTGGCTGATATGTTTATATTTGATCTGTGTGCCCTCTCTTAGACATCTATGAGGGAGATGCCTTAGAGATCAGCGAATTACTGTGCACTATAGTAACAACATAGTCAAAGAGTGGGGTGTGTGCATAGTGACAGCTAAGAGAGAGGGTTTAGAATGTATATACCTTATTAGTTTAACTCCTTATTTATAGATGGGTTACCTGACATGAGTGAACTTCTGGGCATCTTACGAATATTGAGGGTTCAATTTTTGATCCATTGCTGCCGCATTAGGATTAATACAATTAAAGAATCTTTTCTTAATTTTCTTGCCATTAACCCTTCTTGGACCTTTTAGAATGTGGGCCTTTGTTAGGTTTATAATAATTAATATTTACCAAAAAAAAAACTCGTTATTAGTAACTGTGGTATAGATTTGAAGTATTATGGCAGGTGTTAAGTCGAATATTCTTATAATATTTGAGTGTGAGACTAAATGCTTTTTTTTTTTTTTTTTTTGATAACAAGACTAAATGCTTTGAAATACGGTTTTGCATATATACTGAATAATATACAAGTATGTTTGCTGTTGAAAATGCAAGATGTGGGCGTTTCTTGTAAAAATTATTAGTAGAAGAATACTTTCTTAATGAAAAGCTCACATTTTCTCATTTCCAATATATGAGATGTGATGATCTATTATTAGGTCTTGAAGGATAAGTTTTAATGAACTTTTGCTTCCATTAAGTATCGGGGTGGGAGATTGCATATTTTAAAAATAGCATTGAAGATCTTTCGGAAAACTTCCCCCACAGAATTTTATTGATTAAATTATTGGTTAAACCAAAATTAAACAAAATAATATAATCTTAGGCAATCAAATCACAATCATAACTAATGTATGATTTCAGTTAAACCAAGCGTTCCGTTTCAACTTTAAAGTTGAAAAATTGAATAGATTCCAATCGTTATAAAGGAGCAATTACGCGTCTAAATCCATACTTCCTTTTCTTATATATTTCCATATATTTTTTATACATTATAATATTATATTAATAAATAATGATAAATGATTTAACTTATTAAACTTTTAATTGACCATACTTAAATGAAAATGTCGAAAACCACATCAGCGTTAATTCATATAATTATTTTAAAATTAATGTGTGAATTACAATAATTTAAACTAACATATTTAATTTAGATTACAAAAAATAATAGAAATGATAAATAAATAATGTATAATATTTATGTGTAAAGTATAAAATAAAGATAAAAAGTTTAAAAAAATATGCACATGTTTAAGCAATCATAAAAATGAAGATAAAAACAATATTATAAACTATTATAAATTTGATTTAACATTGGTAGAACTTATCCTCCATATGCTTTCCTCTCTTCAATAACCGCTGTCTGACGCTCTCGGTATGCAGTAATTAAGGGTTCCGTCAGGGGAAAGAATCACTCACCCTTTCGTCAATGTCACGGCAGAAAGTAAATGCGATGCAATTTCTTCTTTTAATTGGGCCTCGATGGCTTTGGAAGAAAAAAGCTGACAACCAAGAAAGAAAAAGATTGCTATTTAAAGGAGAGAGATTCTTTATTTTTTTTACCTAAAATGTCAATTTTCAATTAAAAAATTACGGAAGTGTAATGGGTAAAGGAGAGATGATTTAAACCTTCATACATTGATTAATAAATTTAAAATGTAATTATATTTGACTAAACCATGCATTTATTATTTTATTAACGCACTATTTTCAAAATATGATATGATACTTAAATTTTTTCTTGTTTACTTTATGGGTGGTTGAGATTAGGGGTGTTGACAGTCGGTGTCAAGCAGAATTGAGCTTTGATTTTAAAAAATTAAGTCTGTGTTTGAATATGTCAGCATGTTATTACTGTAATTATCGGCATATGCCTTATTAATTTACAAAAAATAGAAGTCTGGTTTAGCCTGTTTAAAAAAAAATAAGACAACAAAAATTTATCCAAACTGAATATACAATCAACAGCACTAGTAATTCCATAAATATTCATAAATTCAATGTATATCCAAACAGCATAATATAGAACAAAATCATCCAAAAATATGTTTAATCAATAAAATAGAATGAAATGGATTGAGGAAAGAAATATTACAAGTAGTATAAAAAATATAAAATAAAAATTAATATACTAGATCAGCCTGAGAGGCTCTAAGGTCGAACTTTTGAATTGGAGCTTGAGTCCTTTCTATTAAACGAGCTTTTATACAAGTTTAAGCCTGGTTCCAACAACCAATTTTAAATATGTAAGCTCAGGTCTTTACGAGCCGAACTAAAGGTTCCTTATTCGTTTATCACCCTTATTTGAGATTATGATTATTTAAAAAAACTAGACAAAAATAATAAATAATTTGTCAAAAAATAAAAAAAAGATATTTATTTGAAAAAGAAGGATTCATATTAAGAATGGATTATGGTAGCAACACGCCAACACCTAAGGCAGTTTCTTCCCGAGTGTGAACGCATTAGATTACAATTAATTTGAGTGTCAGCTATCCTAAAAAAGGCGACCACTTACAGTATTCTCTTCGCACTTGTCTTTCCATCTATATATACTTTTATCAAGTGGCGTGTGTCCTCCACACTTCTGTATATCTCAACTCATAAAAGTTCCTTCTCTTAACCTCTTTTACTTTTTATCTTTCATTTGCAGCTATCCAAGATATCCATGGCAGACATTCAACCAAGCCACATAGAAGAAAACCCTTCGAAAATCACCAACTTCGATGTGGAACAACAAACAGATCAAGTGGTGGAGGTTTTTGACTATGCAAAGAGAGCACAGTGGCTTAGAGCTGCTGTTTTGGGTGCAAATGATGGTTTGCTCTCAACAGCATCGCTCATGATGGGTGTTGGTGCTGTCCGTAAGGATTCTAAGACCATGATTCTTACTGGTATTGCAGGCTTAGTTGCTGGTGCATGCAGCATGGCCATTGGAGAGTTTGTTTCTGTTTATGCACAGTATGATATTGAGTTTTCTCAGATGAAAAGAGAAGGAAACACTGATCACAAAGAGAATTTGCCTAACCCCTATTACGCTGCCCTAGCCTCCTCCCTTGCCTTTGCTGTCGGTGCGGCGGTGCCGCTTCTTGGGGCGGCGTTTATAATAGATTATAAGGTGAGGTTGGGGGTGGTGGTGGCTGTTGTGAGCCTTGCTTTGATTGTTTTTGGAGGTTTGGGTGCTGTTCTTGGGAAAGCACCCTTCTTTAAGTCATCTTTGAGGGTTTTGATTGGAGGATGGCTCGCCATGGCTGTTACTTTTGGCTTAACCAAGCTTGTAGATCATTTTGGAGTTTAATCCATATATGACTATGTTCTCCAACACCTTTTTCTTTTTTGTCTCTTCCCAGTTAGATCTGTTTTTAATTTGATGATGCTTTTTTTTTTTTTTGTTACATAGTTTAATGTATGTTTTATGAATTATATGTTAATGTGGTCTCAAGCTGTACCAAATCTAAAGTGACACTAATATAGTATGGTTTTTGAATATTTGTACTACTGTTTTTCAACAATTAATAGAGCCTCTATCCAATATATGCTTTGGTTATCTTTTCTTTACAACGAGGACAAGCTAGAAAATGTTTGAACAAGTTATAGATTTTTATTTTGGGAAAAAAACTATCCTTTCAAAGGATACAACCTTGTGTGTCTTTAGATAATTTACACAAATATCAGTTAAATTTTGTGTAAATCTGAAAAGTTACTTTTATTCTCTTTCTCCGATCACATCGTTGATGTGTAAAGTGAAATATTAAAAAAAATAATTTTTTAGATTTTAACAAAATCTTGCTGACAAATTTTGTGTAAGCCATTACAAAAACACAATTTATGTCCTTTTTAAAGGACTTCCACTTAATTAACCCTTTTATTTTTGTTTTCTTCTGGGGGATAACTGAGAACTAAAAGAAACTAGCTGCTAAGAAGCAAAACACACATGACTCAGCACGGTGCAGGTGCTCAAATCCTGTGGGACGAGATAATTGTATAATTACTCTTGTTTTTGACAAAAAGTCACAATTTATTCGTATTGAAAAAAGTACTTTTATGGAATAATTTTGTTTAGAATTTTGTATAAACTATTATTTTAACTTAAGTAAAAGGCACTAAAATAAATTTTTTGTAGATTTCTAATAAAATTTATCAATCAATTATTATAAAAAAATTTATACATATTTTTAATTAAATGTATTATTAAAAAAGTATAAGTGATTAGTTTTTGTCCTTTTAAAGGTATAATTTTAATTAAAATTACTGTATTTTATATTGAGAGAAACAAAAATCATGGTGAGAGAAAGTAATTTTTTTTAATTTAAATATTAATTAAATAATAATAATTTTAATTAAAATGATTGTCCTTTAAAAAGATAAATATTTTTTTAAAGTATAAACAAATAGCCCTTAATTATAAGCACCCTTTTTTTCTTTAAAGGGATGTTTGGAAGAAAGATTTTTTTTTATATTCATGAGAAACTGAAGGTGGTAATCTAAGTTACCCACATTTGGTAGAGGATTTCTGAAAAAAATTCAGAAATGTAATTTTTCCGGAATTTTGTTTTGTGAGCAAAATTTAACTAAGAATATCATTCAAAAAACTATCCAGAAGATGGTATTCTTGAATTCCTGGGAAGATGAAAAATTTAATATATTTTTAATCAACCAAACATAACACCAGAAGAATTGATTTAACATTTCTTGGAATATTTTAATTTGGCCTACCAAACAATTTTTTTATAACATTCTTGGGAAAGTTAATTTCTCACTATATTTCTGAAAATTGTGATTTTGGATGTAAATAAAAGCCCTTATTGAATTTTTTTTTTGGGGGGTGAAAACCCTCATTCAGTCTTTTAAAAGAATAGAAATGCAAAAAAGGTCTGTGGCCGATTAATAGAAGCACTATACATGTAAGCATGGTATCATATATTGGTATGTCAAATAGCTTATATGTTAAGTGGTAGGTGGTTTCTTCCTTTACCAGGGAATCACATGATTTGAAGGAATATTGAAACTGTAAGATAGGAAATTAAACAGCTGAAAAAGAAGTTCTTTTTCTATAGTGGCCATAAAAAGATATTCTTCTTTGGTGGTGGAGTGTCCGAAGGAAAAGGAACCTATTGAAGAAACTCTTTTTCCCAAAATAAATAACATGTGGGAGCCGACCAATGTTATAAAAACCTGATTGATTCGGGCTCGATTGATCTGGAAATAAGCGAATCGATTATATAATTGGTCCGGCTTTTATATTAAATCGGTCATGTTACAAAATTAGTGTGACCTGATGTTACTCTATCGTTTTTCGTAAAAACTGGTGATCAGGTCGGTTCAATCGGTGACCTGGCTCAATTCAGAGAAAAAAAAAGCAATTAATTTGTTCTTATCAATTGATATCTTCCTTGTTTTACTCTCACACACAAATTGTTTTTTTTTTTTTGAAATTTTTGAATGATCTGTAGCTTATTAATTTACATATATTATGTACTTATAACACTAATATTATATTAGTTTTGCAATATGCAGAGAATTTTAATTTGATTTATAGTTAGAGATATTATCTACTGAACCTAAAACACCATTTCAAATTTTTTAAGAATCACGAATAATCTTTTTATTTGCTAAGAACTAAAACGAGTATCAAAAAATTTTCTCAAGATAAAAGTTGATATTTACTCTTAATGCTAATGCTAAGTAGTGCGTATAAAACTACTCAATGATAGCCTTTTCCTTTCTTCATCATTGTCGGCTACAGTCTTTAGGCTATCTGTACGTTTATATTAATAAAATACGTTTCATTCAATCTTAACTAAACGGTGGGAGCTTAGTGGAATAATTTATTAATTTTTTGAAAAAGATCGAAGAGTCTTGAACTTTGGTTTCTACTTTATTTTATTTTTTTTAATTAGAAGAATAGGTATTTTATTTGAAGTACTTTCAAATATACATATCGTAGATTGATTAAAGTGTTCTTATTTGGGTTGCACAAATATAAAATCTAGGATTTTGGAGAAAGAATTAAATTGAATGAACCCAATCCCACAGCTTGAGGCTTCAGCTACTGAAGTTGAACCAATTAAGCATTCAAGCATTGGTCTGTTTTGTCACAAATCTACCAGCTAATAATAGATTAAAACATATATATATGTCCGTCCTGTTCCCTAAATATAACCAACCATTACATAAGCATGAGACATAATCAAATGGCAAAAACCAGGATCATCAAGTTGTGATTTCTGACTGAGCTGAGGATATTGAGAGTAACAGAAACAAATATAAACAAAAGAAAGGAACGTGTTCTGCACACGGAACCCACAAGCCATTATGTTATTTTATTAGCAAATAGGATAGAGATCTCCATCGCCAGAGTAAGTCAAATACAAATGGATGGTGACAGAATAACAAGTTATGGTGAGATATGGCCATATGGGTGTTTGGGAACTTGGGACGATTTGAATAGCATTATTTTTATATTTTATACGGTGGTTTGCTTACCCAAAGAAGTACCTAACCTGTGAAAATATTTAATATATTTCGAGACCATCCAATGATTTAATACTCTTTCTCACAATACTAATTTTTTCTTTTTTTTTACTCTTATTATTTTTCTTCTTTTCCAATTTTACCTTTTCATTTATACTAAGGGACCACCTAAAAAATGGTGGTCCCGGACCACAATAAATTCTCTCCTTACCTGTATAACATCTCTTCCCTTATTATATTATTTCTTATTACCATAATTGTACTAGTCACTTCTTTCCTTACTTAAATTATAACATCTAAGGTCTTTGACTTGTAGTTTTGAAAAAACTCATTATCATGCTGAAGAAAGACAAAAATTATAAATTCAACCATAATATATATATATATAATAAATAATTTATTTAATACGTAAATATTTAATATGTACTTTAATTAGTAATTTTAAGAACAAAATTATAATTAAAATATTTAAAACATTTTAGTTTAAACAATTTTAGTACCAAATAAATAATATAATAATACTAATAATTTTGAAAAATATGACAAAAAGACTCATATTTAAAATAAAATAATTATGTACTTTAATTTTATATTACTTGCATATATTCGTTTGTTGGATTATGCGTTTAAACTTTTCGGGTGTTTATGGTTTTAATATTAAAATGACAAAATTTAAAAATAAAGTGGAATATATAAAGAAACCGCCAATATAAATATCTGGGACAGTTTTGATGATTATATATAATTAATATTTTCTTTATTCAAATAATATCTAAAATTTAAGTCGGACGAGTACTCTATCCAGATGAGCACTCTAAGTTATTTATTAGACAAATATCCTATCAACACAAGTGTTTTTTTTTTTGGTATGTAACAACACAAATGTTTTTAATTAGCCGTTATTATACATTACGAAGCCACTTGGGATTTGTAAATCTCTAAGTTTTAAGGTGTTCCTTTAACTCAATAAAATAAAACTGGACCTTCGTTACCAAAATAAATAAATAAATAAAATTTCCTTTTTATTTTTAATTCGTACGACTCCATTTTCAAGAAGTCTCTGCTCACTCTCTTCATAATGATACAAACTTATTATCAAAATAGTTTACGAGTAAGGATATTTTAACTACAAAAAATTTTCACTGCTAATTTACTATCCATCATATCACCATTGGATCAAAAGAGAGAATGTTAAAAAGTTTTTGAAGTGAGAGAAAATGTTAATATAATGGTGATTAGATATGTAGTAAGTTGGTAGTGAAAAATTTTGGTAATTAGAATATCCCTCCTCGTAGTTTACATAATTCTGTTTTTCAAAAAAAAAAATTAAAAAAAGAGAGTTCTACTTTAAAAATCGAATTCCAGAAGGAGAACTTTAGAAGAAAAAAAAAATGAAGGTTCTTTCAAAGTATTGACTCATCGTTAAGATCAGTGATTCCAGTTAAGTATTACCTATCGTACATAACACTCCATTATTTAATATTAAATATGTGTCAAGTTATAAAACTGATGTTAGGAATGGATCAATATTTAAAAAATATCTTTACCCATATCAATTATTAAACGAAATGCTTAATTAAGCAAACAAAATAAATCAAAACTTCTCTAAAATAAATGTTCTTTGGTAATTTTTTATTATCGTTTAAGCTGTTGTATTAAGTCACGTGTGTAAAATTCAATCAGTTAGTTAGTTTGTTATTAGTCAGGTAGTTAGTTTGTTATGTTTAGTTCGTGCATGTTTTAATATTTGGTGATCGACCCAATTTATATAAAGTATTAGCTGACTATCATTGATTATTTACATGCCCAAATAACTGCACAGAA